AGAAGCATTATTACAAAACAGGTTCAGTATAGCAAAAACATGCATACAATGCAGATGGATAACAGCTGCACAATCATGGACTTGCTATATGACTCAATCAGGGTAACATGTCGTTGAATAACAGTCTCAATAAGTGGTCTTTAAGACACATGGTACTACTTGCTGCCCTCTGAAAATGGAGCAGCATTGAATCACTATTCAGAGGATGGTTTAGCAGTGGTTGGCAGGAGTTCAAGAGGCAATCTTGAACCTCCTAAATGTCTGGAGGGTTTTTTCAATCCCAAGGGAAATTTTATAGTTGGCTTGGAGTCATGGTGTGCTTCCATTGAACTAAGTCGGTGAGTTTGACAGGCGGTTCTGCCTATCAAATTCTGCAGCTTGAGTTAAAAATGCAAAGCAGAGTATTGTGGCTACAGCACATGCTTTGTCATGCTGTAATTTTACCATTTGGGTGGGTGGCCAAGAGGCTGTAAAACCATGGCTCAGCTGCCTGTTTTTAAAGCCACCCATGTGAAAGAGCCCTGAGACTATACCAGAGTCAAGCAGAGACACACTACTTCAGTAGAACAGTGCAGAACAGTTACTTCAGATTATCCGTATAAACATTATCCCTCACAGTGAAGTCCAGGGTAGCTCTGGTAACAAAGATGAAGAGCTGGATGGGCTCAAGGAAAAAGAGGTATCCCATTGGAACTAGAGTACTCTGGTGGAAGCAATTAGTAAGTGGTTTCCCACTGTAACTGGGTCTTCTGGAGAAGCTGTGTTTTTTTTAGACTTCAGTCCAGCTGCCTGCACTAAAGTCCCGATAGTGGAGTGCCCTCAACCTGGATGTAGGCCACTTGCCCAGTTACCTCTGCCCCATCAGAGCTGCTGAGGCAGGGAAGCTGAGCAATTTATACCCTCTAGGTGTGTCCAGGAACAAAATATGTTGTGGTAAAGAGGCCTGTGTCTGCATCTGAGCATGATGAGCAAACGTATACTCTGGTACACACACACACACACACACACACATATATAGCTACAAGTGTAGAGCTTTCAAGGACCCATTCCCCAACTTCTAGGGGTTTTTTTTTGCCCACTTTTATTAAAAGAAAGGTTCTTGTACAGCAGGTTTTCCATGCAGGAGTTCTCATCATCACAATGAGCATAATGCAAGGTTTTCAGCTTCCTGGCTATAGAGTTGCCCAGCTTGAGCTATACAGATTCCATATTTTTTTCAAACATCATTTTACTAGGCATCACCATGACCCATTCACTTTTTATGAGACAACCGGTCTGGTCAAAGCAACTGTCTTCCAGGCCTGGACACACACTCCCTGTGTGTCTGTTTACTTCAGCACAACTCTCCTGGAGGGAGGAAGGCCCTGTCTGGCTACACTAATTCTATTTATTGAGTGAACACCCAGCTGGGAATCAATATTACACCGGCTAGTCACCTGATAGTTGGCCTATTTTAACCTCACCATATCCTCATTAGGATAACCCTTATAATTTCTTAGGACCATCCTGTCAACCGAGGTACCCTTTATCCTTGCCTATACCTACTCAGACATAATTTTTTTAGGAGACACTTCAAAGTCTTCCAGCAAGTATGTTTCCAGGAGCAATATCCAAGTTTTAATCTAGATCCTACATTATCATCAGGGCATTTACCAAACCTGGTATCTTAGGAGGTATGAGGACTACTTTTAAGATATGACATCATCTGTAAGCACTTGTAGCTATCTGGCATCTTTTGGAGTCGTAGAGCCAACAGTTAAAGTGGAAGGATCGAGTTAACGAAGCCTAAACCTGCTCACACCCGTTCTAACTTCTAACTACGCTGTAAAGGAATGATGTGTATACTTGCCTCTTCCGAGGGCACTCTGGTCCGGTCACATGATCGGCTCTCAGCAGCTTCAGGGGAGAGGAGTGACAACCAATAACGGATTCCTTATAGTAAGCCTATGCGTGACATCACCACTCAGGCTTTGCAGCTGTTCTCGCCAATCTCTCTTCTCCTGAAGTCAGCTGTTGACATCATATGGCCAGACCAGAATACCCTCAGAATAAGTAAGTATATGCATCTTCCTTTTCCAGGGTAGTTAGGATAGGATTTAGAAGGGAGGTGGGAGCAGTTTTTGGCTTGGTTAGATTGATCCTGGACTTCAGTTCACACTTCAAGCACATATAAGCTCACAAAGCTTGTCTTCTGTTGTTTTTTCTACACTAAAACATATTATTTGGTTTAGTAATGGTCATGTTTTGAAATACTTTATCAGACATATGTACGGGCTCTTGGACTATTTGGGAACTATATATCTTTTTAGGCATTGCCAATAGCAATGTTGAGATGGGAAGATGCTCAGCAAAGTCAGACATTTCATTAATCCCATTCTCAAAAGAGCCTCATTACTCTTTTTAATGGCCATGTTACTTAGTTCTGGGCTAACTTCCTGAACTACAAGACAGAATTTCCAGAATGGTGGAACTTCCTTTTCCAAACAACACATCTTGTACCACCTGCTTCCTTGCTCTCTGACAAACCAGAAAGAGGGTGGTTCCTTTAACGAGATGACATTTGTATTGCTTGACCAGTCATAGCATCAACAAACAGTTGTGCAGTGGGGAGGAAGTTTGTTGGGCAGAAGAACAAGGTGTGTTTTTCTGCTTATTTATGTACCCTTAGCCAAAATGAGCATTTAACCATTGCATTGTGTATATGTGCATGTGGGGTGGGGGGGATATTTCAGAAGCGAAGCAAGAGGAATTGTAAAAGGTTATACTTACAAACGTGAAATATTTGTCTTTTGACCATTCATATTAGTTTTTATAGAGTAGGAAATAATTCAAACCCATCTGTTTTTTCCTATTGAGACAAGATGTACCTTAATTTCTTGTCCCAAGTATACTGCAGTAATTTAGGGGAAATCTCTCAAAAGAAAAGGCAAATCTTCTCTTGGACAGCTGACACCAGAACAGATGTCCCCTCTATTCCTGTTCCTGCAACAACTAAAAGTTGTGTATTACCCATCACTTTCTTTAGAAGGGCGTGCGAACCTGCTCCGTAATAAAATCTAATAGATGTTCCAACCCTTCCCTGTGCTATTCAGAATTCACAAAAAAGTTTTTCCTTTAGATATACTTTAAAGATCTAAAAGCTGTTAAACATTTGCTTTCTACTTAAAGCTGAATTCTAGGCAAATATGGGTTAAAACTAAATACTGCAGCAAAGGCTTGTTTTCTTATTTTAGATTTTAAAGAGCAAATTCATTTTTATCTTTTTTTTTTGGGTGGAGTTCTGCTTTAACAATTTGCAAAGAAAAAAACAATCTGTATTTTACAGGAAAAATGTATGTACTATCTTAACATGTGTATAACTGAGTTAGCTCACATAGGACCTTTTTGATTTGTATAAATGTGTTGAATTCAACTGACAGAGTAATAAAAAAAAAAAGTCTTTGTATTGCTTCACAGAGATCATCTTTGTACTATCGAATGGCAGATTAGAGTGGGGGTCAGCAACCAGTAGATCAGTCTACCAGTAGATCACAGCCAGGTGACTGGTAGATCTTGATCTGGGCTTGCTGACCTGCCATCCCAGAGCATCAAACAGAAAAACGTTGGAGTAGGGAGCAAGAGCTGCATAAGCTGATGCCTCCTCTGTAGTGCTGGCTCCTGACCCATGCAGTGTGATACCAACTGAACTCCACCTCTTATTCTGCTTAGCAGTCTCCAGAGTGGTACCAGCAGCAGGAAAGAAGAGATCTTCAGGTCAGTGTGAAGCAATACACTGGGCATAATAGTATAGGGCTGCTTTCACACTGATGCACTACGGTTTACCCACTGGGGTGCAGTGCAGTGTACTTGCAGCTTTATTGTGGGTTTGCTGCACTTAGCATATACTTGTATTCTATCCTTCACATTTGGTGCACTTCCTGAAAGCACAACAAAACTACTGCAGTAGTTTTGGTGCACTTTCAGAGAATGCACCACACCTGCAGGATATAATAGAAATCTATGGCAAAGTGCAGGTAATTCAGGATAGTCACAGATGCACTGCACTGCACCTAGAATGCAGGTAAACTTCACCACATCAGTGTGAAAGCAGCAATATAGGGGGCTCAGAATAGTAAGGGTTAATTTACATTTGCAGTTTGGGGGTGATAAAACCCCATAGTTAAGACATGTTTTTACCACCTCTGCCCCAACTGCACTCCCTTTAGCTGCACTGGCCAGGGGGTGTACACATGTCGCAGCAGGAGCCATATGCCCTGTCATGGTTGGTGGGTGTAGCATCTGCTATGCATGACCCCTTCAAGTGAATGAGGCCTCTCTACAAGTGCCCTGCAACCTTGTGCAGTACAGCAAACAAGGGGTTAAAGCAGGCAGTATTGTGTTGCTTTTTCACCACCTGCTTTAACCCCTTGCAGAAGTATAGAGTTGTGGGGCGCGTACAGAGTGGCCCTATTTACTTGAATTGGGTTGTGATTGGCAGGTGGTAGCACCCATCAAAAGTAACAAGGGGTTTAATTCCTGTTGCAGTATGTGTACATCTTTGGCTGCTGCCTCAGCAGCTAAAGGGGGTAGGTTTTGGGGGCGGTAAAAATGCAACACAAATGCAGACTTGTACATACATATGTTTGTACATATAACTCAGGGAATATTTAGGTGACTAGTAGATAAAAGGTGAATGTATCTGGTAGAATAGTCAGAGAACCCTGATCCATTTGTCCAATAAAACTAGTGAACTTAATCCAACACCCCTGCACACCAGTAGATTTACAGAAGCTAATTTTCAACTTACAATATTACACAATGCATTTGTTCTAATGTATCTTCATTTTTATTATACACTCATTAAAATATCCTTCACAAATAAAAAGTAGGAACAAAGATAAAGCCATTACTGACAACATAAGAAAAAACAATGAACACGTTTAGTCTTTTAACTCCTTGGATCAAAAATAATGCAGGGACAACATGCTGATTAAAGCCGGTAACATTTGATAGATTACTGTTCAGTGATCAGGTAAAATATACACATCATCATCTTCTTTGTTTATACCAATATCACCTTGATTACAATAGTTGTAATATACTCCTTGCGTGTTGCTGTAAATTGGTTGATTGCCCTCATTGACATCACTCTCTAAATAGATGCCTTCTTCCATGGTTTGTTTACTATGGGCAAAAAAAAGATAGTAGTCACACATAAAGAAGCTTAGCAGCTCAACTTCAAATGGTTCAAATGCATATTTACACTTATTTGCATTATATAAAAAATATGTTACCTATCTTGTTTGGAAACCAAGTGAAAACTCTGTTTCTAGTTTACGTTTCAGACCAAAGCTGTTGACCTCATAGTCTGCAACTACAATGCTGCTGTGAACTGAAAATTTTACATACAGTATATTTTTAATATTCCATCCTTAAATGCCCTCAGTAAAAAAAATTAGACATGAAGTTTACTGTTCCAAAGTATCCCCTTGCCTTAAGGTATAAATAAACTCAAGAACAAAAATTTAATATATTGTAGTCTACCAGTCCTTAGGTGCGGTGGGTTCATTATTTTTCTTTTGAAAGAGATGTGTTAAAAAAAATAAACATTCATACTCGCCTGTAGTAGGTGGATGCAGCATTGGTCCGATGCTGCATTTGTCCCCCTCTGTCTCTAAGACCTAGAACTGAATGATCAAAGAAAGCTGATTGCTCATTTCTCAGTCTTCAATGAGTAGAGAGAGCAGTGACTGCCAGTTACCAGCTCTTGGCTCTGTTCCTCCAGTGCTCACTGGAGTGCCAGGCTGTGGATGGGGAAGGAGCAGCTAGCTCATCCCAGCAGCTCGCTGAGAGGCTGAGCCAGCTGCCATTCCAGGAATCCATGTGAATCTTTCCTGAGCCTGACACAGTTGAGGGATGCCCACTGTCAGCTAAAATGGGTCACAGAAGTGCAGAAAGAACTGCATGCCAGGGAGCGAGGAGCCAGACACACAAGGAGGTGCAATTAAAGGTAGGTTTATTTACACAGAAACAAGGCAAGAGTATATGCAAGTCCGACAGCAACAGCAGATGACTTGGTAGGACAGAAGTTCTCCTGCCGAGGTCGTCTTCCAGGATAATGAAGTCGAGAACCAGCGGGAATCGTAGCCAAAGCCGGGGTCAGAAGCCAGGAAGAATGGTCGCCAGAGCCAGGGTCAGAAGCCAGGAGGAATGGTCGCCAGAGCCGGGGTCAGAAGCCAGCAGGAGGAATCTTTGCCAAAGCCGAGTCGGTATCCAGGAGAGCAATGAGTGAACTGAACAGGAGCTTGCTGCTGTGCAACAGACAGGACACGAATGCAATGGACAGCTGCAAACAGCAGACTTAAATGTGATAAGCCGCCACTTCCTGGGAGGAGCCGCAGAGGGCTGAAAGCATAAAGGATCCCACAATGCTTTACAGACACCTAAGATGGATGCCAGCACATGGAGCAGCACAAGCCCTGAGGAAAGGTAGGACCTTGACAGTACCTCCTCCTCAAGGGCCCCTCCCCCTCCGCGGCTCAACATAAGGCTTCTGGGGAAAGCGGGCGTGAAAAGCGCAGAGGAGGGCAGGAGCATGAACATCCGCGGAAGGAACCCAGGAACGCACCTCTGGACCATAACCACACCAATGGACGAGGAACTGCACCCGACCGTGGACCAACCGAGAGTCCAGGATGCGGCTCACCTCATACTCCTCATGACAGTCTACCCGGATAGGATGGGGCCGAGGCAGTGAGGCAGTAAGGCAGTAAAGCGATTGCAGACCAGAGGCTTCAACAGGGATACATGGAAGACATTGGAGATACGCATCCCAGGATGAAGAGCATGGGCATAGGCAACCGGGTTCACCCTGCGGAGGATGCGGAAAGGACCAACAAAATGGGGAGCCAGTTTCGGTGCCGGAACCCGAAGATTGAGGTTACGAGTGGACAACCACACCCGATCTCCGACCTGGCATGAAGGAGCGGGCAACCGTCTACGATCAGCCTGGAGCTTCTGGCCCTGTGCTGAGTCCTTCAAGGACCTCTGGATCTGCCCACACGAAGAACGCAGGGCAGCAAGATGGTTATCCACAGCCGGAATGTCCTGTGGCGAGAACAACTCAGGCAATACACAGCGGGTTGGAACCCATAGTTGGCCATGAAGGGAGACATCCCGGAGGAGGAGTTGACAGCCGACTTCCGTCGCAAACTCTGCCCATGGCAGGAGATCGACCCAATTGTCTTGATGGTCTGAGATATAGCAGCGAAAGGAAATTTTTCCAGGGCCTGGTTGGCACGCTCCGCAGCCCCATTGGACTGCAGGTGGTAGGCCAAAGAGAAGGAGAGCTTGATACCCAACTGGGAGCAGAAGGCGCACCAGAACCTGGACACAAACTGTCTCCCACGGTCCGAGACAATCACCTTAGGCAACCCATGCAAGCGAAAGATCTCCCTGGCAAAAACCGTAGCCAGGTCTTGCGCAGTCGGCAATTTCTTGAACGGAACACAATGGCACATCTTGGAGAAATGATCAATGACCATAAGAATGACCGTATGGCCTTGAGACGCAGGGAGGTCCACAATAAAATCCATGCCCAGGTGTGACCAGGGACGCTCCCCATTGGGAATGGGTTGCAGAAGGCCCAATGGCAGATGCCGAGGAGATTTATTCTGTGCACAGACAGAACATGTCGCTACATATGTGGCGATGTCAGAACATAGAGATGGCCACCAGAATAGGCGAGAAACAACCCAGGACAACTGGTTCCTCCTCGGATGACCGGCAGTCTTGGAATTATGGTAGGTACGCAGCAGGCGGGTGCGTAATCCTTCAGGTACGAAACATCTACCAACCGGTCTCTCAGAGGGAGCGTCAGTTTGAGCCGCCAAAATATGCTCCCCAAGGGGAGAAGTCAGGCTGGTACAAATGGCAGCCAGGATCTGATCTGGAGGTATTGTTATAAACCGCCTGGCAGAGTCTCTAGCAGCCCACCGCACGGACGCCCTCAGGCACGGGGTCTAAGTCCCAGCCTGCTGTTCACCAGGGCCCCTGATGGTGGGGATGGACTTGGTGCAGACTGGAACCAGGTCGCGACCCCCGAGTGCGTCCTGCGGTGGTAGAGAGTACTGACAGGGGAGTGCAGGAACGGAATCTAATTGGAAAAGGCAGACAGATACACTGGTCTGATCCGAGCCGGATGGATGGATGGTCGGGTACGGTATGCAAGGTAGGACAGGCCAGGTCGGTATTATGCGGGCAGCGAGGTACAATAGGAGCGAGCTAAGAATGGTCAGGTCACAAGCCAGGTTCAGCAGGATGCGGGCAAATACAGTACCAGGGATCAGACGGAAGAATAGTCAGGCAAGCCAGGGGTTAAGCAGGAGAAGAGCAGGATCAGGAACAAGCAGAGGTCAGCAACGGAGTATACAGCAACACAGAATCAGGAACAGGATACAAGACCAAACGGCAACTTGACATACCTGTTCCTATGTTTAAATAGCCCGCCTCCCGCTGTCATTGGTGCCAGGCGCGCGTCCGCGATCCTAAGTGCGCATGCACGAACCCCGCCGCTGCCATGCGCGCCCAGGTCCTACCGCCCGCCGGGTAGTGAGTGTTGGTGTTCTGCGCATGCGCTGCTGCCTGACGCGATGCCGCAGAACACCCGTATCCTGACAGGTATGACCGAGGTCGGCTCAGAGTCCTCCCTGGACAGCTCAGACTATTGCCGCGACAAGGCATCAGCCCTGACATTCTTGGAGCCAGGCAAATAGACCACATAGTTAAAACGCAACAAGAACAGAGCCCATCTGTCCTGACAGGGTGTCAACCTCTTAGCCTCCGAGAGATACGTCAAGTTCTTGTGGTCAGTGAGAATGAGAACCGGAACCGCAGAACCCTCGAGCAGGTGCCTCCATTCCTTGAGAGCCTGAATAATGGCCAACAACTCCCTGTCTCCAATCTGGTAGTTGCATTCTGCGGAGGAAAGCTTCCTGGAGTAGAACCCAGAGGGAAGTAGGGGTCTATCGGGCGACCGACGCTGAGACAGGAGGGCGCCTACTCCCGTCTCAGATGCATCAACCTTGAGGACAAAGGGCAACCCAGGATTGGGATTAGACAGTATCGGAGCCGAAGTGAAGGCGGATTTCAGAGCTTCGAAAGCTAAGATGGCCTTGGATGACCACTCGTGGGGATTACTGCCCTTCTTGGTCAGATCTAAGAGAGGCTTACCTCTTACCTATCCCGACGCTCCTTCAGCGTTTCCTACAATGGTGCCCACCTCGAATCCCCTTCCCTCCCCCTCTCTGTTGGGGTCCCCCAGGGCTCTGTCCTTGGACCCCTTCTCTTCTCCATCTACACCTCCTCCCTTGGCAAACTCATACACTCCCACGGCTTCAACTACCATCTCTATGCTGAAGGACACTCAAATTTACCTCTCCACCCCTCACCTCACCTCCACTTTCTCCGCCCGCATCACTCACCTCCTAAAACGACATCTCTGACTGGATGTCGCTCCATTTCCTCAAACTCAACCTCTCCAAAACCGAGCTTCTCGTCTTCCCTCCTGCCCGCGCCCCCCCCCCCCATCCTATCCATCACTACTAACATCACCACCATCAATCCCGCCCCGCAAGCCAAAGTCCTTGGGGTCATTTCTGGACCTAACCTCTCCTTCCAACCTCATGTCAAATCACTGACAAACACATGCAGGCTCCACCTCCGCAATATCGCCAAAATACGCACCTTCCTTACCCCAGACACCGCTAAACTACTTGTGCACTCCCTGATTATCTCACGCCTTGACTACTGCAACTCCCTCCTCACCGGCCTACCCCAGTGCAAACTCTCCCCGCTTCAGACCATCCTGAACTCAGCTGCCAGACTCATCCACCTCACCAGCCGCTCCACCTCTGCCACCCCCCTCTGCCTCTCCCTCCACTGGCTCCCTATCGCCCAACGCATCAAATTCAAACTACTCACTCACTGACCTACAAAGCCATTCACAACACTGCCCCTAAAACTACCTCACCGACCTGATTCCCAAGTACCACCCTACCCGTACCCTTCGCTCTTCACAGGACCTCCTTCTATCTTGCTCCCTGGTCTCCTCCTCACACGCACGTCTGCAAGACTTCTCCAGGTCCTCCCCCATCCTCTGGAACTCACTACCCCAATCCATCAGA